ATAATATATATTTATATATATATATATATATATATATATATAAAGAGAGACGAGACTTCAAATAAGATATCACGTACACGTTGGAAATAAGGAGAAAACATCGAAGCGAGGATAACGCGAATCGATATCGTGGATTAGAAGAAGAGGGTAGATAGGAAAAACAAAGAACGAAAGGATGGAAGTCAATGGTGGTGGTGGTAGTGGTGTTCTATGGTATATATATATATAGAACGTGCAACGATGCCCGCGGGATACGATCCTTCGAAGCAAAAGTTAGAACGGGCTTGTGCGTTAGAAAGGACACGCTTGGGATTAGGCTTGTTGATTACGCACTCTGTGTGTCTCTCACGGTATGCTCGAGTTACGACAAACATGTTAAGTATGGTATTAAATGTATGCAATCTTGTATATATATGTATATACGTGTACGTTATGATATTATGAAAATACAAGATTCTATATGCGAAACAACATAAATAAATGAACAACGAATGTGGGGTAAAAAGGTAAAGGGTTGTTAAACTTTAACTGCTTTTCATCTCGATAATTAATAAAACGTTAAAACATAAATGTAATTCGAAACCTTGATTTTGATTTTTACATCTAACTTTCTTTTATTGTTAGATTAAAAAGAAAAAAAAATCAAAAAGAATCGGCCAAGAAGAAGAAAAAAAACCCCATAATATTACTCGTGGGAAAATAATTTTCATTAGATTTTCCCCCATGTGATCATTATCTTATACGAAAAATCGAATATAATAATAATAATAACTTTAAAAGAATACGTGGCAAGGGATTAAAGGGGAAGTAGGAATATTGGGATAAAGTAAAATAAAGTTTTAAAGTTTTATTTGAAATGGGTAGGAAGAGAGAGAGAGGGGGTTGGTTTTGAAGAAAATCATTTTGAAATCTATGAAAATAATTTCAAAGTAATCATTTTTAATATAAATGGAAATGGAATAATATAATGACACATTGGTGAATAATGTGGCGACTTTAATGATTACCTTGAGGTTCGTTAGCTCTTGGTTGTGTACGACCGTACTGATTTTCTCGATCCAGCTCGATGACAATTTCATTGTCTCGTTCGTCGGGTTGTTCTCCGCGCCCAATTTCGGGCGGTACGGCTGGTTGCATGGGTTTCGCCATTTCTGAAGCAACGTTCACCAAGTTTCACGATGACAATGATGATCAATGATAACAGATAATATACTAATTACATATAGAAAATGTATAACAAATAAACAAATAAACGAACGAACGAATCGAACAAACTAGCCCATATTTTTACACATACGTTCAATTATTTTATGCATTTTTACGTATGTATAAATATATATATATATGTATGTGTTTATATAATATATATGAAAAATATATTATGATATATAATGAGATCATTGTGATAAATAACAAATCAATTTGACAATATTAATTTTATTACATAAATAATTTTTCTTTAACTTGATTATTATTATTATATATATACACACACACACACACAAGGAAAAAGAATTATCTTTTTTACACGATACATTTTTAAAAAATATTATTTTCCTTAAAATCATTTGTCACAATACTTCATTGAATTATTTCGTACAATTAATCGAATCAAAATCCATTTATATATAATATATACGATATCAATCGTTATAATTTTAAAACGTATTTCTATTTCATTCTTTCTTTTCACATAATATATATACCGTGTAAAAAATAATTTCCCCCATTCGTATCACAAATGATAAATGTTATAACTTTAAACACCACAAAATATATAACACGAATGGAATGAATAAGGACGAAGAGACAAAAATGAAACATAGCAAATGATAGTAACGTTGTGTGTTGTTAAAAAAAAAAAAAAAAGTTAGTACAAAGATTTAGCGTGCGATACAAATGATATGAAAGAAAGAAAGAAAAAAAGAATATAAAAGATAGAGAAAGAGGAATAGAGAAAGATAGATAAAACAAAGGAGAAAGATAAAGAATAGAATAACAAGGAATAAGGACTCGTAAAAGGATCTCGCGAAATAGCATAAAATATATATATAATAACAACCAGAAAATTAGGACAAAGGAAGTAGCAATAAATCCTTATCGTTAGGGTAATATTACTACTTGTTAAAAAAGCACATATCATCATATAAGAAATGAAATTATAATAATTCTATTCATATCACACACACACACACACATATTATATATTAACAGGTGTCGCGTTTATATCTTATTTTTCAAACGTATTACAATTTGAAAAAAGATAAAAAATAATATTGAAATGATAATAATAATAATGCCAAGAAAATATACTATAAAACGTTGAGTACGATTTACGTTTAACGTAGATTTTCTTTCTTTTTTTTTTTTTTCTTTTTATTTTTGTGGTAAAAGGATACTGAAGTAAGAGAATAAAGAGAAAGAGAGAAAGAAAATAAAAAAAAAGAAAAAAAAGGTGAAAGTAGGATGAAGTTGAAGCTTCCTGGGGTATGAAAGATGAAAGCTAAAGGTTCGCAAAAGCAAGGTAGTTAAATCTATGTGATGGTGGTGGTTGTGTGGAACGACGAGAAGAAAGTTCGCGAGATACCTCGTTGAATCCCCCGTTGGGATATATCGCTAAAGTTGACTGTCTGTTACAGACACACAGTAGTATTCCTGGTGTTAACGGGTATAGTATAGATCTATCTATCTATCTATGCATCTATGTACGTATGTTAGTGTATATATGTATTATAGTAGAACGATTACGGATGAACGCGCAACATTTCGATCGATTCAGCTGATCCTTGCGCTTTTCAAATGGCTTTGAATCTTTGATACCGACAGACGAGATGCTCTTTTATATTTTATTATGTTTAGATACGGTATTGCATTTAGTTATATATATATGTATATATATATATATATGTATGTATATATTTTATTTTTATTTTTTTTTTTTGTACGTATGTGTATTTTTATATAGACACCGTTTATTTAAATGAAACTATCTGTTGTATTCGAGAAACCGATAAGTTTCCTTTTGCCTTCCTTTCTTTTTTTTATTTTTATTTTTATTTTATATTGAAGGAAAGATCAATCCTTTGGCTAAATGTTTATTTTTATTGTTAAAGAGAGAATTGTGTGTTTTATAGATTAGTTTAGAAAATTATCAAATATTTGAAGAATATTTATTTTTAATAATATATATCATTGCAATACATCTCTCATATTATATTCTATTTCACAATCTATAATAGAGAATAAAATTAATCGTATAAATTACAATAACGGACTGATAATTTTTGAAAATAAAACTATATCGTATCGAATATTTCTGCGAACGACTGTACGTCGAGTCCTACTTGAAAATTTTTCGAAAGTCTCGTCGTTTCTACTTCGAAGTCAAGGATGCGTTAAATCAAGTATTTCAAGAGAGAGAAATATTGAGAGCGAGAAAGAGAAAGAGAGAGATGAAAAAAAAAAAACCCATAGAAGGGAAAGAAGATAAAAGATAAAAAGAAAAGAGAGGAGTCATTACTTTTGAGAGGGTAAAAAAAAAGAAAAGAAAAAGAGTGCGTGGGAAAACAGGTTTTTCCTCCCATTTTTCGAGGAATTCATTCGTGAAAGCTTAAAGAAGAAATTGGGTAGGGGGTGGAAGTTCTAGTAATAATAGTAGTAATAATAGTAGTGGTGGTGGTGGTGGGTTTTCACTTGTAATATAACATCAGAGAAATACTATAAACCAACCTACCTTGCTCGTAACCACAGCCTTTGTGTTTTCCCATAAGGATATCTTGAAATAGGGTCTTTTCGGCATCGCTATCATGAAGTTTAGTTGGTACAGCAACGCAAAGATTTGTCGTAGCATCCCATGCGCAATGGGGATCTTGAAGTGCTACGCATGCTGCACAACTACCAGCCAATGGTGAATCGCAATGATGAAGTGGTACAGCGCGTATCTCCGAATCCGCAAACACTACCAATTTGCTAGCTTCACCTGCTAAGTGCACCACTAACAGATCCTTCACTGCTTGTCCTAGAAACGTTAATAGACACATATATATATATATATATACATTCATTTCGAACGATTTCATTCTACTTGATATAAGGGAAGATCATTAATTTCACATGGCTATGGGGTTGTTGTGTTCTACGTTTTAATTTATACGTTTTATATGAGGTTTTAAGTTATTTCTTCCTATATTGTTTTTTTCTTTTTTAATTATACACCGTTGAGATTGTTAATCAATTGTATGTAAATGAATTTTATTGATAATGAAAATATAATTTTTCTTTTGTTTTTTCGTTTTGAGATACTCACATCTAAGGATAATATTTTGCATGTATGTATATATATATATATTACTGAGAATAAATCATTTCAATCTTTCCGAGAATGTAAATAAAATTTAGATTTCATTAGGATTTCAAAAGTTTTCCCTCCCATAATAACATTTTCAAATATTACAAAATTGTAAACTGTTAATGGTACTTTAGGTGAATTTGTTGTTTTAAAACTTATTGAACCCATATACCGGAAAAACGGGTAATAACAGATAATTTCTTTTACAAGTGTATCACCAACGGTGAAACTAATAACTGAAAGAACTACCTTCCAGTTGGTGTATCCATTAGTGGAAATAAACTAAAAGAGAGAACTGTTTTAATTTCTACCATTAGAGGAAATAAACTAAAAGAATTACTTTGGACCGTTACCATTAGAGAAAATAAGAGATAATTATTTAAACTTGTTAAATTAAAGAAGGAAAAATGTCTCCCCCCTTTTTTGCTTTTACCAATATTCTTTGTCTTTTTATTTTTTTTTTTTTTT